CTTAGCCTGATGTAAATATAAAAGAGAAAAACAGGAAATGTGAATTGAAATGATATTGAGATGGTATGTAAGGTGTATTATTTTATTACATTTAGAACACTAGAGTGTTAAGGACTTTGGGACTTAATTATTATAAGCAATAATAAATAAACAATATTGCTAAACATAAAAGATGGTGCCTTTAAAGTGGATTTACACTGCATCTTAGCACCACAAACCAAGAGCTCAATTTAATTTATTTTTTATATTCAAAGCAAACTTGCTCATCCATCCATGTCTCCATGTTTTATTTTGCTGAGAAATTACTTAGAAAATCACCCCCTCTCATTTCTGGTGGTGGCCATCTTAAACAAAGGCAGATGATTCCTGTAGCATTTACTTCCTGGAATCCATCTGCTCTTAGCTCAGGCATGCAGGCAGGAGGGTGTGCTTAGCTGAGAAACCCCCTCCTCCCCTTCTGAAGACTCCTGGGATGTATGACATCATTTGCATAGGCATGAAAACTAGGAAGTAACTAAAGAAACAAAAAGAGAGTTTAAAAGAAGTAAATATGATATACTTTCTATTAACTAATGCTGCCAGCATAAGGATTCAAAATAGTCAGTGTTGGTTGAGAGAGTGAAGTTCCACTTTATTGAACATTTGAGAAACAAAATGTTGTAATGTTATTTTGAGTTGCTTAGGCACATACTCCCCTGTGTTGGAGAGAAGATAAAATACCACAACCCTAAGTTTATAACATTGGTATTGGAACTAAGGTGTTAGTCAATGCTTTTAAAAACTGGAAAAGTGTGCAAAAAACATACAGCTACTGTATTCTGTTTACCTGTTTTTAATGAAGTGTTTTGTAATTGGCTGTGTAGGTTTGAGATGGAATTTATCTTCTAAATCGTTTGCTTACTTCTTATGTGTTCCTGCTGTGAAAGCTTTATCTGTTTTGTCCTTTGCTTAGCATATTTTAGAATAGCTCTTCAAACGACTGAAACAAAAATATGTAACAAAAATAAAAAATCTTAAGTAAATGTTATATGGTTTATTATTTTGTTATGTTATTGTACATGTATGTGTTCTTTTTAATGTATGAAACTGGTGTAAATATTTTTATTATTGATAAAGCCAATTTGCACTTTTATGACCTTTATTTGCACTTTCTTTATTTCAGGTGAACTCAGTGCTAATTACAACTCTAATAACAAAGGCTACGGACTGCAGTAAAATAGTATTGATGCTGGATTAAATCAATAATGCAATAATATTATAATAAGGCATAAAGTGAGGGAAATGGCTGTAAAATTGATGTACCATATGAAAAAGAAAAACAATAGCAAGTAAAATCACATTATGATGAAAACTTTACCAACTGCATTTCACATCCTTGTGATTCATATTGTCCTGGGGCATTCGTTCCTTAATCTTCAGCTCTAAGAGAAGCAGAATAGCTTTATTGATATTTCAACCCATATGAATATTTTTTTAATGATGCTGTATTTTTATTGCTTGAATATTCACAGTGTCAATGTTTCTTTTTAGCATTCTGTGTGGGGAAACAACAAAGCAATGTACTGTTAATTTTAGTACTTTTCTTAAGAATGAGATAGGAAATACAGCAGGCCATGTTACTGCAAGAAGCACAACTTCCTTTATATTCCATTGGGTCTATTTATTGGCACAGAAAGTATTCAATATTAATGGAAGAAAATGAAACATGGAAAAGCAATTGCATTTATTTTAATAATTTCACAATACTTTTCATGATTCAATTCAACAACTAAGGAGCACTTTATATCAAAATGTCATGGACCTAACTTTGTACCATATTTAGAAAGTAGCTAAAAGGAAATATGTAAAATATTAAGAGCACTACTCATAAACGTGATAGCTCTTGATATACTGTAGCTATACTAAAGATGTCATCTTATTGATACAAAAGTTTAAGTAGTTTCAAGTGAAAATTAAGAGTAGAAGGTAGTCTCTATCATGCATATGTGTAATTTTCCAGGCATCTACCAGTTGACACTCATGTATTTCTTTTTTCAATAGTCTCAGGGCTCTACAGCCCTCTCTCTGCGTATGAGAAGTAGCATCTTTTTGTGGATCTATACAGAAATTGAAATCTCCTGCCAGAATCAAGTGGCCTTTTTTAAAGTCCATCAGCTTCCTCAGCACCCTTTTCAAAAACACCTCCGGCTTTTTATTAGGACAATAAATATTAGCCAATGTACACTCGATTTCCTGTAGTTTACCTCTTAGAAACAAAAATCTCCCTTCTGGATCTGTTTTTTTGTCTTCCAACTCAAACCTAATGTTTTTTGCCAACCCTATTGCTACACCTTTTGCTTTTTTAATCGGTGAGTCTGCATAATACCATGTTGGATGGCACCTAGATTTTAACTTAACATTTGACTCTATCTCAAAATGTGTCTCCTGTAAGAAAACCACTGAAGCTGCTCTATGTTGTAGCTCTTTAAATAGCCTAAATCTTTTCCCGGGACAACTCAACCCATTTACATTGTAAGTTATAAACTATAAATTAAAAAACAACTTCCTGCGCTCAGAATGGGGCCCTCTCCCTATAGCTGCTGACACTTACCCTCCTACCAATGTGAGTCAAATCAATCAATAAATAAATAAATAAATAGTGCAGCGCTAAATACTAAAACAAACATACATGTAAATAAATAAATATTCAAATCAATATATATCATAATATATTTATTTGCACTGTTGCACATGTTTATGATATATATTGATTTGAATATTTATTTATTTACATGTATGTTTGTTTTAGTATTTAGCGCTGCACTATTTATTTATTTAAATTATAAACTGTACCTCTTCCATCTTTCTTAAATCTCCCCTCTTCTCCTCCATCCATGTTCTTCCTTTTTCTTGCTTTTATTTCTCCTTCTATCCTGCAGGGAGTTACCCTCAATTCCCCTCCCCCCACCCCTCCCATTTTCCCATCCCCCTCCTGGGTTAGATGATAAAAGGTCATACCAGGCTTGTAGGGAGGCCCGGATGCAAGGATGTTTGGGTAGGTTTCTGGTTGAAAAGGTTGTGGTAGGAACAGAATGTCACGTAGTGTTGGCAGAAGGTGAGGGAGTGTTTCCATGGTAGTCCACGTTTTTTCAATAGTTGGATGCCACCAAAAGTAGAGTTGGTCTATAAGTATGGCATTATAGTATGTTTTTAAGTGCCGGAGACCTGCCCCTCCTCTAGAGGTTGGGCGTATGATGAGGTTTGTCGTACATCTGGGTTTCTTTGAGTTCCAGAGGAATTTGGCAAGTATTACTTGTAGTTTGGAGAAGAAAGCATTGGGGACAGGTATGGGGAGTGTGCAGAAGAAAAAGGATTTTGGGTAGTATGCACATTTTTAGAGCAGCTACTCTTCCCAATTTTGATAATGTGGACGTGCGTAGGTTTTTAAGTTCTTGAGGGATGGATTTGAATAATTGTTTATGATTTGAGACGTAAAGTTGATCTGTCAAGTTGGTGAGTTTAATTCCCAGATAAGGGATGCTGTGGTGTTCCCAGGAGAAGGGAAAGCATTTGAGAAGTATTTCCTGGAGCTTAGTAGGTATATTAAGATTTAAGATAGAGGATTTGGGCGCATTGAGTTTGTAGTATGATACTTCTGAATATTTTTGAAGATGTGTCTGGATCGTTTGGAGTGATTTGTGTGGATTGGTAATCATTAGTATGATGTCATCTGCAAATAGGCTAATTTTGTGTTCTCTTTTGAGATGGGTGATTCCTGTGAATGCTGGGTCATATCTGAGTTTTGAGGCTAATGGTTCAATGAGTAGAATGAAAATTATGGGGAATAGGGGACAGCCTTGTCTGGTACCGTTGGAGATGTGGAAAATCTGTGAGAGAGTGCTGTTGGTTAGCACTCTCGCCGAGGGGTTGGAATAAAGGGCAAGGATTGCCGATAGCATCCAGTCTGTGATTCCAAACCTTTGAAGCATGAGTTTCATAAAGTGCCAATGTATACGGTCAAATGCTTTTTCAATGTCAAGGGATAAGAGTAGGGAGGGTCGTTTAGTGGTTTCTAATGTGTGTAAGAGGGAAATGAGTCTCCTAGTTGCATCTGGCACTTGGCGACAAGGGACAAATCCTACTTGGTCTGGGTGGATTAGTGTAGGTAGGTGGGGAAGCAATCTTTGGGCTATTAATTTGGCGTAAAGTTTTTTATCTGTATTTAGTAGTGAAATCGGTCTGTAATTCTGAACAAGTTGGGGGTCTTTGCCGGGTTTTGGGATAGTTGTGATTATGGATTACAGCATTTCATTAGGGAATGTACCTGTAGAAACGGCATGGTTAAAGAAAGCGGTTAGATGTGGCGTAAGACTAGGGGCAAATGTTTTGTAAAATTCGTTTGTAAAGCCATCATTTCCTGGAGATTTGTTAAGAGTTAAGGTTTTTATAGTATTCTCTATTTCCATGAGAGAAAATGGGATAGAGATAGAGGTGAGTTGTGATGGAGTAAGATGGGGTAGACTAGTGGTAGTTAAAAAGTTTTGTATGGATAATGTTGTTGGTTGGGGTGTATCTGGATCATCTTTGATATTGTACAGAGTTTGGTAGTAAGTTGCAAAGGCGTCAGCTATGTTCTGTGGATTTGTGAGCAAAGTGCGGGTAGTTGGGTGTAAAATTGAGGAAATTTTTGATTTGGTGTAGTCTCTTTTGGTGCTGTGCTGACATCAACTAGGACAATTTAGACAGGAGCCAATTAACCTACCAGCATGTCTTTGGAGTGTGGCAGGAAACCGAGTACCCGGAGGAAATAAATGCAAGCACAGAGAGAGCATGCAAACTCCATGCAGGAGTTGCCATGGTGGGGAACCCATGACCCATTTACTGCACGGCAGACGTGCTAACCACTAAGCCACTGTGCCGCCCCATATATATACATACACACACTATATTACCAAAAGTATTGAGCCACCCCTCCAAATCATTGGATTTAGGTGTGCCAATAACCTCCATGGCTGCAGGTGTATAAAATCAAGTGCCTAGGCATGCTGACTGCTTCTACAAACATTTGTGAAAGAACGGGTCACTCTCAGGGGCTCAGTGAATTCAAGCGTAGTACTGTGATAGGTTGACATCTGTGCAATAGGTCCATCCATGAAATTTCCTTGCTACTAAATATTCCACGATCAAATGTTTGTGGTATTGTATTAAAGTGGAAGCAACTGGGAAGAACAACATCTCAGTCACAAAGAGGTAGGCCATGTAAAATGAAGCGCACAGTGCGCAGTAGTTGCCAACTGTCTGCAGAGTTAATAGCTATAGACCTCCAAATTTTGAGTGGCCGTTAGATTAGCACTACAAGAGTTCGTAGAGAGTTTCAAGTGCAATGCAAAGTGTCGAATGCAGTGGCATAAAGCATGCTACCACTGGATTCTAGAGCAGTGGAGACGTGTTCTCTGGAGTGACGAATCATGCTTCTTTGTCTGCCAATCCAATGGACATGTCTGCCAAGTGTAAAGTTTGGTGGAAGGGGGATTATGGTGTGGGATTGTTTTTGAAGGGTTGGGGTTGGGCTTGGCCCCTTAGTTCCAGTGAAGGGAATTCTTAAGGCGTCACCATTCCAAGACATTTTGGACAATTTCATGCTCCAAACTTTGTGGGAACAGTTTGAGAAAAGCCCTTCCTGTATCAACATGACTGCACACCAGTGCACAAAGCAACATGGATGAGTGAGTATAGGGTGGGGAATCTTGACTGGCCTGAACAGAGTTCTGACCTCAACCTGATAGAACACCTTTGGGATGAATTAGAGCAAAGACTGTGACTGTGTCCAACATCGATGCCTAACCTCACAAATGTGCTTGTGGAAGAATGGTCAAACATTCCCATAGACACACTCCCAAGCCTTGTGGACTTCCTTCCCAGGAGAGTTGAAGCTGTTATAGCTGCAAATGGTGGACCAACTCAATACCTACGAACTCTATCTATGTATATATGAGGGGTGTTCAATTCATAGCAGGACTTTTAATTTTACTTGTATAAAAAGATATGCCAGTGTGGCAGTACTACATGCAGTAAGGCCTCAGCATACCAAGACATTTTGGACAATTTCATGCTCTCAACTTTGTGGTAACAGTTTGGGGATGGCCCCTTCCTGTTCCAACATGACTGTGCACCAGTGCACAAAGCCAGGTCCATAAAGACATGGATGAATGAGTTTGGGGTGGAGGAGCTTCACTGGCCTGATCTCAACCTCATAGAACACCTTTGGGATGAATTAGAGTGGAGACTGCAAGTCAGGCCTTCTTGTCCGACATCAGTGCCTGATCTCACAAATAAGCTTCTGGAAGAATGTTCAAAAATTCCCATAGACACACTCCTAAACCTTGTGGAGAGCCTTCCCAGAAGAGTTGAAGCTGTTATAGCTGTAAGGGTACACCAACTCAATATTGAATGCTATGGACTAAGACTGGGATGTCATTAAAGTTCATGTGTGTGTAAAGACAGGCATCCCGATACGTTCGGCAGTATAATGTGTGTGTGTATATATATATATATATATATATATATATATATATATATATATAATATCCCTTTTTTTTCTGAGGGTCTTCTGCTAAGTAAGGTCACAGGTCTTTCCTTTTCTCCTATAGTGATAATAGTGAATGTTTTTTCCTCCTAGATTGAGCAGTACTTAGGCAATACCATCTGAGCACCTTTCAATGCAGTGGTACTTGGCAGAGATATAGAACTCTGTGTGACTACTCTGGATTTTTTTTTACTTTAGCGGTGCTATTTATATATTTTTAATTTTTACCTGGAGTTCTGCATTTAGTGACTGGGTAGATCTTCAGCACCTACTCAGTACCACACCTCTTCCCACAGCAAACTGTTGTTAGGAGTGCCATTTTAACTCAGTATAGTTTATGGGACTATATAAAGCAATTCGAACAAGTGACATAAACATCTATTAATAAAATGTAAACAGACAGCAATCTACAGGGAAGAAAATGTCCAATTTATTGTACAGGAGCTGCACATCTCTGCAAACCGCAGGTAAAAAAGCTATATCTCTGTCAGTGTTAAAAAAAATCCTCAAAGGCGTTAATTTACTTTTACAACACTTTGGTATATGAGGCTCAATGAATATAAACTTAGCAATTTATATCACCCTACAAGCCAAATTCGCTATCTCTGGTAGAGGCCAATGGGATATATGGACTTTAGAATGCTTGTGAACCATAAAAATTAGTTCCCTGATGTGCCAAGGGAGTTGTAAAAATTAATCAGCCACTTTACTAGTAGTTGTTGCGATCTTACAGTTCCATGACAGACTTGTTTTAACAATGCTTTTATCATTTAAGTTTTGTCTAAGAAAGTAACACGGAAAATGAATTTTCCTGACATGTTGGTAGCTTGACATGCAAAAAGATAGATTATGTTTTTGAAGCAGTTATTATAGTGATGATTGATTTGAAATGATATGTATAAGCATTATCATTAATGAGATTTAAACATTATCTGTTTGATATTCACATTTAAGGGGCAATACATCATCTACAAAGAAAACATGATGTAAATATGATAGATGATGTGACTTTTAAGTAACATTAAAAGTTCCCCTACAACAAAAATATAAATGCCAGTTCAGCAGAAAAACAAACTTTGCTTTTATAGCAATAAACATTATACTATGGTCAACACTGAGGATAAGTAAATCAATCCACTGGCCTGAGAAAGAAACATGACTTGTTGCTATGTTTCCTTGGAGTGAGTGAAGAAATTAAAGTGCATACAGTATAAAGCCAGTAAGTTTAATTTTTAGGAAGGTGGTGTTAAACTCTGTCGCAGCCAGTGTGATTTTCTATAGAATGCAATGAATATAAATATAAAAAAAAGGATTTTCAATAAGGCAAAAAAAGTCATGTGCAAAGTGCAATAACCCAGAGAAACAAATAAGAAAAGAATTATTCTTTCACTTGTCTTACTAGAGTAAAATAAAACATGCTGATACTAAATTTCACTCAATAAACTATTATTAAACACATGTAATCTCGTATATGGAAAGGAAATATTCCAGACTAATTCTAGCAGTATCAAGCAGCATACACAGTTTATATACTGTAGTGCTACTGAGCATATTTAAAGGTAACCTTTTTTTCTAAATTCCAGCTTGCCTAGGTAGCAATAAAGCATTAATGTGCCACTTTTGAAAAAATAAATAAATAAATAGTGTTCTGTAATATCTCACACCAGCACTTACCTAGGCATCAGTCTGATCTATGGAGAACTCTTGAATTCTTGAACAGACCTTAGGTTGGGAAAACTAGTAAGACACAGAAAGTAATTCACTAGCTGACCTCAGTAACACACAGCATGCTACTGCCTTCCCCATTCCAGGATATAGATCTCACCAACCTACATTGGTGCATGCAAATCTAATATAGTTATCACCATTATCACTGAAAACTCTGGCATCAGTTTCTTTTTCTTACCATAATCTTGCATAAATTGTTCATTTGACAGAGTCTGCAGAAGCTGAGTAATCAGATAACAGCCTATGTGGAGAAGTGTGTCCTGGAAGTCTGTACAGCTCAACGTAAACTATACAATCTGATTATACAATCTCCTTTAGATCTATCATAAACTATGTAGTGCAAGGGCCTGCCTGATTGGATACAAAGTGATTGGATAGATGGTGTGTCCTCCTATTATATAGTTTTGGTAAATTTAAAGGAGATTGTAAAGAGCTTTTACAATCAGATTGTATAGTGTATGGCCATCTTTATACACCGTGTTCCAAATTATTATGCAAATTCTATTTAAGTGTCACAAAGATTAAATATTTTGTTTTTCAGTTTAACTCATGGATGGCATTGTGTGTCAGGGCTCTGTTGATCACTGAAAACAATCTCGGACACCTGTGATAATTGGATTGGCCGGTGAGCCCAATTTAAGGAAAAATTACTAAAGGACGGTGTTCCACATTATTAAGCAGAGCACCATTTTCAAGCAATATGGGGAAGAAAAAGGATCTCTCTGCTGCCGAAAAGAGTGAAATAGTTCAATGCCTTGGACAAGGTATGAAAACATTAGATATTTCACGAAAACTTAAGCGTGATCATCGCACTATTAAGAGATTTGTGGCTGATTCACAGCACAGACAGGTTCGTGCAGATAAAGGCACATTGAGGAAGATTTCTGCCAGATCCATGCATCGGATCGAGAGAGCAGCTGCTAAAATACCATTACATAGCAGCAAACAGATATTTGAAGCTGCTGGTGCCTCTGGAGTCCCACGAACATTAAGGTGTAGAGTCCTCCAGAGTCTTGCAACTGTGCATAAACCTTCTATTCGGCCACCAATAACCAATGCTCACAAGCAGAAACGGCTGCATTGGGCAGAAAAAATACATGAAGACTAAATTTCAAACAGTCCTGTTCACTGATGAGTGCCGTGCAACCCTGGATGGTCCAGACGGATAGAGTAGTAGATGGTTGGTGGACGGCCACCCTGTTCCAACAAGGCTGCGACGTCAGCAAGGCGGTGGTGGAGTCATGTTTTGGGCCGGAATCATGGGAACAGAGCTGGTCAGCCCCTTTAGAGGCCCTGAAGGTGTAAAGATGACCTCTGCAAAGTATGTGGAGTTTATGACAGACCACTTTCTTCTCTGGTACAGAAGGAAGAACTATGCTTTCCGTAATAAAATCATCTTCATGCATGACAATGCACCATCTCATGCTGCAAATAATACCTCTGAATCAATGGCTGCTATGGGGATAAAAGGAGAGAAAGTCATGGTGTGGCCTCCATCCTCCCCTGACCTCATTCCTATTGAGAACCTTTGGAGCATCCTCAAGCAAAAGGTCTATGAGGGTGGGAGGCAGTTTACATCCAAACAGCAGCTCTGGGAGGCTATTCTGACATCTTGCAAACAAATTCAAGCAGAAACTGTCCAAAAACTCACAAGTTCAATGGATGCAAGACTTGTGAAGCTGCTATCAAATAAGGAGTCCTATGTTAAAATGTAACGTGACCTGTTAAAATGTTTAAAAAGTTAAAATGTTGTTAAAAGTTTGATTGAAATAGCTTTTGATTTCAGTAAATATGCTGCAAACACAACAAATGACAATTTTCAGTTCTTTACAACCTATAAAGTGTTTTGAAACTTACTGTACGTAATAATTTGGAACAGTGCATTGTAAGTGTTTTATGTTTAAAAAAATACTGTTATCATTAGAAGGTTTGTTCAATAAAATTTGAATTGTACTCTTAATAGTTGATAACGTGAGAATT